AGCGCACTGGTTCTGTTAACCCTCCCCAGTTCCACACCTCTCCCCCCAAATCCTAAAGGTCTATGTGACCCCCCCCCGCCCCGAGGCATCACAGCTCCTCCACACATACAGGAACAGTTCTCCCGCGAGCCCCCTCTGAGCTTCCGCAGACTTTTTTTAATGGAAGTCGCACCACCATGTGTGCACTGGTCTGATCTAGGAAGGGATGTTGGTTAATCTGGAATTAAGTCAGATTGAATCACACACACCAATGTCAAAACTGGTTCAAGGAAAAGGGAGAGAGGGGGAAAAAAAAAAAAGGGAAAAAAAAAAAAAACCAACTACCTGAAATCACAGAACTTTGGAAGTTCAGAAAAATGTCTCTCCTATAACTTGTGTTAAGTTCATTTGCTTAAATCTCTTTTTCTTATTTAAAGCCAGTTCCTAACAGTAGTTTTTCCGCCTCTGCCCATCTCACCCCCAGTGATGCCAGCTCGTTGCCTGCGCTCAGAGGACTCCAGGCTACAGAAGGCGCCGGGCTGGCCAGTGCAGGGGCCGCTCCTCCCCGCGGGAGCCCTCCCAGCGCAGCCTCAGGTCCCGCAGCCTCTCCCGTACACTGACCGGCAGCAGTCACGTTTGTTTTTTTTTTTTGAGAAGATATATCGGATAAGAAGGCATGAAAGTTCCTCTAAGTTCTTCCAGGCTCAGCCCTTCTCCAGTTCTCCCTTGAGCGAGTGTCCCACTCCTCCCGCGTCGCTGTCCCTTCACTTCCTCCGGTCCTTCTGTTTCCTCTCCTGCCGCCGCGCCTGCTGGTCGGCCACGGCGCGAGGTATCAAAATGACGCTGCCGTCGCTGGCGTACTGCAGGGCGTACTGGCTGGGGGAGTAGGGCTGCCCGTTCTCGTCCCGCAGGCGGCCGAACACTTCCTGGTAGAGGTTCTGCACCTTTTGCTTCATCTGACGGATGGATTTAAGGAATTCCACTTTCTCCCTGAGCAGTTTGGACTTGTCCCGTTGCAAATCCTCGACGTCCCGTTCCAGGTTGAGGATGGTGTCCAGTTTCCTCTTGCGGCAGTTCTGAGCAGCCATCTTGTTCTTGCCTCTCCTCCGGATGTCGCGGATCAGGCTCAGCTGCGCCTCGCTCAGCTGGTACTTGGAGAGCAGCTCGTTGAACTCCTCCACCGGCAGGTTGATGATCTTGTCGTTGGTGAAGGGGATCTTCATGGCTCTGGCCCGGTGCTCGTCCCGGCTCATCTGCTTGTCCAGGAACTCGGACGGTTTCTCCTTGCTGTTCTTCTTCCCCGCGCTGGGCGGTTTGGGCTCCTCGGGGTCCAGGGCCCCCGGTGCCATGTTGTAGGTGTGGTTGTGGCCGACGTGCTCCAGGTAGGGCAGGTAGTGCAGCTGCGACGGGTCCTGGTAGCTCATGCGGCAGAACTTGCTGTACTCTGGCTGGTAGCCAACCGCCCCTTCTGCTTCTTCAAAGTCCACGTTCTCAGAGTCTGAGCTGTAGCCGACAGCTCCTTCCTCAGAAAACGAGGAGGAGGAGGAAGAGGACGAGGAGGAAGAGGAGGAGGACGAGGAGGAGGAAGCTTCTGAGCTGCTCAGAGAAGCAGGACTGTGGCCGGAATCCAGCGAGAGACCTGAGTCAGAATCAAATTCCTCTTCCAGCTGCGAGGCTTGCACCGGGTTGAAACCTTCTTCGATCGCCAAGTCCATCAAGCTGATCTCGTCAAGCATGGCTTCGTCCAGAAGACCCCCCAGGGGGTCCGGCAGCTCGGGGCCGGCCGTCTCGTTGACCGTGCTGTTCAGCTGCGGAGGGAAGAAGATGCCGCTCAAATTGGTGGAGCCGAAGGTGGTGTTGAGGCCGGTGGAGTTGTCCGGCGCCAGCTGGAGCAGGGCCGAGCTGCCAGCTATGGAGGGGCTTTCGATTTCCGAGCTGAAGAGGGAGAAGTCCTGCGAGCAGCTACCCAGAGAGGCCTGATGCAGGCTGACATTCTGATTGATGGGAGTGGTGGGAGCCAGGCTGTAGTTCGAAGCCAGCAGGTCTCCGCTCGTGCCATTGTACAGGGTTTCAGCGGTGGTGTTGTTCACTTCCATAGCCTGGAAGAGACGGGAAGCAGCTCGGTAAAGGAGCTGCGCTCGAGCCCTGCCTTTCTTCTCTGCCCTTCGCTCCCGGCGCGTGCCGAAGAAAGGCAGGACAGAGCTACTACATCCCAGGGAAGGAGCTCTCTGCAGCGGCCCAGCATCATCCACCAGCTGCGGGAGGGTTACGGCAGCAGCAGCAACCCCCCCACGGGCAGCACAGCGTCACCATGCAGCTGCGAGCACCCCCAGCTCACAACTGTCCAGGAATCGGGGGCTGGGGACAGCCACCAAACCTAAATTTGACAGAAGAGCAACACGCTCCTGGAGGGGCAAACGCCTTCCCGCGCCCCCCCGAGAGCTCACCTGCATTTCCATGATAGACATGAGGTCCTGCCACTGCTGCTCCAGATCGAAGGGCGACTCGGTCTCTGCGAGGAGAGGCGACAGCAGGCTGGTCTGGATGCCTGCGGACCTGCTCTCGCTGGGCACGGCTTCGCTCAGGGTGGAGACATCCGCAGCTGGAAACTAACCACGTGAGGCAGAGTCAGTGCCCGGCTGCTCAGCAATCCCCGCTGCCCTTCCACCTCCGCGCGGGCAATCGCTTCTCCTTTGTTCAAAGCGAACTGGTTGCAGTTATTCCTCTACAGTTCACGATGAACTAATTAGAAGCAAAGCCAGAAGTCTTTAATTAATTGTGACCACCACCC